ACAAGTGTTTCCCTTATGGTATTTTCTCAAGTAATTAAAAAATTAAACAGTATTTATTATATTGAATTCATAAATAATTAATGAAAAATTTAGTAAGTATGTATTTAAAAGGTAAAACAACGATAAAAGGGAAAATTATAACTTTAAGAATGAACAATAAGTAATAATATGTAGCGTATTATAAAAATAAATGTCAGTTATGCATATGCATATTCCTTCGTGATCATACCCATGCAGGGGCGGATCTTGGTTTTTCGGGCCTAAAGTCCAATGGGGTCCCATTTTATGTTAATATAAATAATACTATAAATTATCATTATTATTGTATTATTAATAGGGGAAGTATACATTAATTCTTAATTTGAGCAGTGGCATAATGGCATTAAGATACTTTATAAAATTTAAATAAATTACTGTAAATAATGTTTTATTTTTCTACCATGCCCATCGTGGCATCAATCAGGACCGACGTATCCAGAAACTCTACGAAAAATTTCTGGAGAGTTTGCTCGTCCTAATTTTACAAATAGTCGCNATATTCCTTCGTGATCATACCCATGCAGGGGCGGATCTTGGTTTTTCGGGCCTAAAGTCCAATGGGTCCCATTTTATGTTAATATAAATAATACTATAAATTATCATTATTATTGTATTATTAATATCAACTATTTTTTACTATACGATAAGTGCTCAATACTGTTAATGAAAAAGTATTAAAAATTTATGATGATAATTCAATTTTTGTGGGCCCTTGACACTTGGAGGCCCAGGGTTTAAGCCCTTTTAGTCCCTATGTAGATCCATCTCTGTACTAATGCACAGAATTTTTTTAAAAGGGTGGGATTTTAAAAAAAACACATTATTTTTTATAACGTAGTTTATTCATTTTTACAACTAACACTATACAATAGGGTAAGGAGGAACGGAACGAGTGAAAAATAAATATAAGTTATATACAATACTGCAAATTGTTTTATTAAGATAGTAAAATTTTACTGTAAGAATTAACAAATTCATTTTTAAAATTAGGCTTTACATCCTTCATAAACGTCTAGTGTTTGAAAGATGAGGTCTCCTTTCTTTTCACTACATTCTCCGATTATTCTTTGTCACATTTTCACTTCTACTTTAAATTCGTCTTCATTGATGCATTCAAGGACTGATTCATAATTTTTGTATACGGTCTGAATGTGACATCATTAAAATTTGTATGCCTTTGAGGTAACAGGCAATCAAAACTGCTAAGAATTTCCTCATGCTTAATAAATCTAAAGTTAATTTAATAACAATATAAACACTGCCACATGGTAATATTTTTGTGGCGATTCAACTTCAATATTGTTCCATGTTGCTGCTTATTACTTAATTAATCTTGAAATACTGAGAGTGAAGTGATCTTCTATAATATATTTACCTATTGAAATTAGAAGCAGCTAAAAGAATATTAATAATAATTAATAGAATATTTATATAACGAACATTAAAATATTCTTGTATTTTTTTACAGAAAAAAATCAGCTTTTTATAATCGTAAGTATTATAATAAAATTTTATTATCGTAAATACAGTGAAATAAGAAAAGCTATTCATTAATAAATTACCGTGTTTAATAATGATTTTAAATAATTATAAATATAAAATTTCTTATAATTTCTTTAAAATTATATCAAATATTTATTATATAGCATGAATTAATATTTATTTCTATATGAGTTATATCTAATTATCAAATTATATGGAACACTAAACTAAAATGTTTTCATATACTGCATATGGATAACGATAGGCTATATTTTCAACGAGTATAAGTGTGAGGTACCGGACGGAAATCGAAATTATGTTTCGAATGATGAAAATCCGGTGAGTTAGTTAAGCTCTCGCCTTTCAGAATTAAACAAAGCAAGACTTAAAGTCTAGCTTAAACAATAAAAGTTCTTTCCAACAAAACGGAAAACAAACGGTTTGAATTGCGAGGGGATATCAAAGTCGAAGGAATTTTAGATGAACAGGAATCGGGTTAAGTCGCGAAATTGACCTCTCCCACGACCCGAAAGGTTTCAAATTGTCACCAGGTGACCAGGGGAGATCAATCGGAACGCGGAATCGAGGGAAAAACTGATAAAAACGCTCGTTTCAAGGACGCGACGTTCTTTGTTCTTTGTTCCAAACCTTTTGTCATAAAAATCTGCTGTTCGAGCTTTCATCTATCTCCGAGAGACGTTCGATCTCACGGAGTTGTGCGTGCTCTTCAAGCTTCATTACCTGTGACTAAGACTATCCTTTTCCTAGCTACAGTGCGCCCCGGGACCGTCGATTCTGTCGACCTTAACCGAGGAATCGAGAAAGACACACTACGAAATATTCGGGACTTTATGGGACTCTATCCTTGTAAATTTGTGTCGATGGATACGTCGAAACGTTTGTAAGAAAACTTTTTATAGTCTCATTGAACGGATAAAGATGGTAAACTTGTCTCAGTTCTAATTTCATGCTCACACACGATTGTTTCAACTCCTTGACTGTCTCGACAATCGTACACAGTCGGCAAATGTACTCTTATATTTGATGAATTTATGTAGAATCTTGAATTATAATATATATATATATATATATAAAACATATAATTTCTTCTCCACCATTTCATCTACATATAAATAAATAGATATGTTTTGTTGTTTTGAGAATGAAATTCATCCAAATGGTATAAAATTTTATAACTAGTTTTATTATTTCAAAGATTTCATTAATGCATACTATCCAATATTTTGAGATCTACTTTTAAATAGATAAAACTATAAAACTGTTTTAAGTATTCCAGCAGAATTTCAGTAAAGTTTCTATCAATTTACAACAAAATATAAAAATAATGATCATTTTATAGTTTTAAAGATAAATGAAAAATTTGATTCATTCGAATAATTAAAAAAATTATGTGATTATTTTATTAAAATTTTGTAACTCATATATAAATAAAATGCTTTATTTTAACATATAATTTAACAGAGTTTATGACAATAAGATAATAAAATTTGATATTTAAATATATTATTACTATACAAGTTTATTTTTTTCGTGTATTCACTGGTTATCAGTATCCTCCTTTTCCACCTCCACCACCTCCTCCGTAACCACCTCCAAGTCCACTGTATCCGCCTCCACCGCCACCTCCTTTACCTCCAAATCCACCTAGATCCACAAGAATAATTTCCTTGGATAAACCGCCACCACCACCTCCTTTACCACCACCTCCAAATCCTCCGTATCCTCCGCCACCTCCTCCTCCTTTACCTCCTCCGCCACCATATCCACCTCCTAAACTTCCATATCCACCAATATCAATTCCACCATAACCACCTCCACCTCCTCCTTTACCACCACCGCCGAAACCACCTCCCATTCCTCCATGCCCTCCAAGTCCAATTCCACCGTAGCCGCCGCCGCCGCCGCCACCTCCTTTTCCTCCACCGCCTCCTCCTCCGTAACCATGTGCATCTCTTAAATGCTATTAATAACTAAAACAGAAATGCAAACAAGTGTTTCCCTTATGGTATTTTCTCAAGTAATTAAAAAATTAAACAGTNTCCACCAATATCAATTCCACCATAACCACCTCCACCTCCTCCTTTACCACCACCGCCGAAACCACCTCCCATTCCTCCATGCCCTCCAAGTCCAATTCCACCGTAGCCGCCGCCGCCGCCGCCACCTCCTTTTCCTCCACCGCCTCCTCCTCCGTAACCACCTCCGTGTCCACCAAGTTCAAGTCCACCATAGCCGCCACCTCCGCCTCCTTTTCCACCGCTGCTACTTCCATAAAGTTCAAGTATATCGTAACCACCACCTCCTTTACCACCGCCGCCTCCTCCAAGTCCACCATATCCTCCTCCGCCTCCCTTTCCACCACCGCCTCCATAACCACCACCACCGAATCCTCCTTTTCCGCCTCCTCCACCTCCACCTCCTCCTTTTCCACCGCCTCCACCTTTAAAAAGTTCAAGTATATCGTAACCACCTCCTTTACCACCGCCGCCTCCTCCTCCTTTTCCACCGCCGCCTCCATATCCACCACCACCAAAACCACCTTTTCCTCCACCTCCACCTCCTCCTTTTCCACCACCCCCACCTCCAAGGAGTGCAAGTATATCGTAACCACCTCCTTTACCACCGCCGCCTCCTCCTCCAAGTCCTCCATATCCTCCTCCTCCTCCTTTTCCACCACCGCCTCCATAACCACCACCACCAAATCCTCCTTTTCCGCCTCCTCCACCTCCACCACCTCCTTTTCCACCGCCTCCACCTTTAAAAAGTTCAAGTATATCGTAACCACCTCCTTTACCACCGCCGCCTCCTCCTCCTTTTCCACCGCCGCCTCCATATCCACCACCACCAAAACCACCTTTTCCTCCACCTCCACCTCCTCCTTTTCCACCACCCCCACCTCCAAGGAGTGCAAGTATATCGTAACCACCTCCTTTACCACCGCCGCCTCCTCCTCCAAGTCCTCCATATCCTCCTCCTCCTCCTTTTCCACCACCGCCTCCATAACCACCACCACC